GGAGTACCCGGAGAAAACCCACGCAGGCACGGGGAGAACATGCACACTCTACTGCACTGTGAGGCAAATATGCTAACCAGTTGTCCACCGTGCCACCCAATAATAAGAATAATGATAATATTAAATCCAAATTTGGTTTGGTTGTGTTGTCATGTTGGTCTTCCTGGCGTCACCTGCTACTAGCAGGGCAAACAGCAGCATGCTGGTCTTGCTTGTCCCAAGACCAGCAGCAAACTCACAATAAAAGCAGTCAAGACCTTCAGTCTGGGTTGCAGTGGTTCAGGTCATAGAGTGGGTTGCCAGGTGAATGAAGGTTTGGTTGTTTGAATCATGGTTGCTTTGTTTCTATTTTGCTGATGAACACGGTAACAACAAAACCATGGTGGTCTATGCTGGTGGGGGGTTCGGAGATGGTGGAAGTGGAGTTCTCGTATGGACGGTAAAGGCTCTGAAAAAGACAGGAATATGACATGGCCCCTTCCGAACACTAATTCCCTAACCCTAACTGGTTGAATCAAATTAAATAAAACATTCATTGAATCTTTTACCTGAACTGTACATTTTGGTTACCTTTAAACGGAAATAAAAACTTGAACGACGAACCAAGTTTAGTGTGGTATTTGAAAGTTGTAGCTTTATCAAGGAACAGTGTCCTCTAGTGTTCATTCACGTTAACTACATGTAGGCCAGTAAGTGTTTGAGCAATGTCAGAGATTTATGCTTTATGCTTCTAGAAACCACAACATTTGGTTCGAAATAAAACAGTTCAGGTGTAATGGAACTATAAACTTCATATACTCCACCTCATATTTTCGGCGAACTACAGAAGAGGATTAGGGCCAAAGAACAAAAAAAAAAAAAAAAACAAGATAGTCAAAATTGTCACTTTTCACTCAGAAATATTGCTGTAAAAGCAGAAATATCACTTAAAAATAAGAATTATCACTTTAAAGCCAGAATTATAAGACTAATGTAAAAATTCTGAGTATAAAGGCAGTAGGACGAGTTAAGAGTGAAATTCTTGCCAAAATGTTTTTTATTTCTTTATTGGTCGTAATCCTCTTCCATAGATTCGAAGGAAAAGCGCCGTCGACGGCAACCAAATAACTGAGAATCACCAACGATCATTATTTTACCATTCTTTTTAAGATTTGGGATTTTCGTTTTAAAATTTGGGACATCATTGAGTTTTTTTTTGTGTGTGTTGATCAGGTCCGTTGTGTTCTGAAACATTAATCAAACTTGCTACATCGTGGCAAAATTGTGGAATAAGCGGCATACGTAATGTTAAAATAGAAAGCCTTTTTTGAGGTGAAAATGTTTATTTGCGGCCTGGAGTCTTACAGAACCGATGTCACTTCCTCCTAAAATACAAATGTGTCTCTGTGCTTCAATTCCAAAAGAGGGCAGCATCAACCAAATTGTCCAACCACATAACGGCCTGGATACATAGCGTGTGATTTGTGCTCCGACTGTGTACAGTACGTTCATTCCCACAGTGGGGTCATGATCCATTTAAAGCCAAGGAAACCCGCTAGTGAGCCTGTGGCCATATCAGTAGCCTACAAGTTGCTGTTCTTATGTAATGTACCGTCTGGAACACTTTGTTTCAGAACATTCACATTGGCTCAAACACACGCACGAACGCACGCACGCACACAGAAACTTTTACGGCTTGGAGAAAGGCAGGGCAATGACTAGTGGAAAACAATGAGAGAACGTGCTCAGTTTGTTCGATGGACTGCATCGCAATATTTTACTGGTGTCAGTAGGGTATTCCTTTTAAATGCTTAATGGGATCTTTTGTACAGATTGCTTAGTATGTAAATCTTCAGAACACTAAATATTACAGAGTAGCGGAGTGTATTATACATGAAACACATTAAATCCGGATCAAGTGATGTATCGCGTCTCTGTAATCTCATAGTGTGATACTGATGATATACAATAAAAAAGAAAGGGCAGGAGAGTGCTCACTGTAAATCGGTGTTTCTAATAATTTCTTATTAAAATCATCACCTGGAAGGGAAGAAAATGTAGTTGCCCCACCACCAGGGGTGTGCAGGACAGCCAAAAATTGTATTCAACACTATGAAGTGAAAAAAACAACACAAACGTCGAGAAAGTTGGCAGTAACATGTCAATGCTTTTTTTTTAATTAATAAGAGCATGAACGTCAAGAACAATGACACTTTAACCAAAAGAAAAACTAAATCAAATATTCATAAAATAAGGGAAACAAAGGCAAATTCAGCCACAAGAAACGACCCAAAACTAAAGTGTTTTTGGTTTGTGAACAACACTGTCCTGTTCTATCTTTGATTGTGTTTTAGCTCCAGCTGGAGTGGAGGGCGTTTCCCTCCAGCAGGCGCACCTGTGCTGCATTTTCCAATCAAGCCTTGCCATGTATTTAAGGACTGCCAAGCTGCCTGGTCATTGTCAGATTATTGACCTTGCTCACTGGTGTGCTTCAAGTGTTATTTTCTAGACCTCCTGAAACTATTCACAGTCGCTCCAGTTTTGTTCAGAGATTCTTCATTGTAAATGTTCTCTTCTAAGGTACATCTCCAAGCGCTATGAAAATATTCCTCTCCATCATATCATAACCAACAACAATGAAATTAAAGTAAAGCCCATCAAGAAAAATTGCTGCGAAATGTAAACCTCTGTAAATCGCCCATTTACGAAATGTTATGCAAACAGTGACTTTCGTCCTTTTGAGAGGCTCTCATTTCTCCATAGAATGACTCTGCCACAAAATACGCACTGATAACAATGTCTTCACCAAAAAAAAAATAGAGAAGTTGTCAGTAACAATGGCACTGTAAAATGGCTTCAGTTGTGAGGCACCAAATGTTAATCCAGTCCAT